AAGGCACATTTCAGCTACATTTAATGAGCTGCTACCTTCCACCAGAATTGGATTCTGACGAGAAACAGGGAGCTACGCCTCAGGAATCCAGCAGGAGCTGCTGAGGGGGTGCCTGGCCACATCTGCTGATCAGTGAGCATGGATTCGCTGGGTAATGCATAGCAGGTACTGGGCATAAGACCACAGGAAGGGGCATTTGAATACAACAGGTAGTACTGCCTTGCTTTAAGCTTAATGCTTCCTACGGAAGGGTTTGGTGATTGTTAGGCAGGAGATAGAAGCTAAATCATGCTGCAAGTAGATTTTTTTTGTTTGCTTGTCCAGTTGTTGCTCCTTTACCGTAATGGGTAGCAATTTTCAGTTTCAAATCATTTTAGAAATCTTAATGCATCTTCCTCTCTCCTGAGGCTATTATGCAGAAACCAGTACCTCCACTCCAAGGTATTATTGCTGGAACTTACTGATCTCTAGAAGGATTTTCTATCTTGAGCAGCAAAAGACCAATGTATATGCCACAAAGTAAGACATCTTAAATGTCATTAGTCCAGGGATCATGTAACAAACTGTCAGATTTATAGCACTCTAATTCCTGAACCATGGCAACATTGTCATCAGTAGTAGGAGGAGACTCAAACCCAGTCATAGGTGACACTAGAGTGCAACCCAGTACACTCAGGACCTGTTGAGGGGTTTCCACATGCTGTTCCAAGTGGACACTGGTTCTCATAGCATGGTTCTCCCACCTCAGTGTCATTCTCCACAGCATCATAAACTTTCTGGCTCTGGGACTAGTCTTAGGTTGCAGGCTTTACATACAAAGGCATGTTCAAAGGGTACAGTCTACAGGAACAAACCATCCCAATGTGCAGGAAGACTAGCAAATATGGTAAAGACCAGATTGGCTTGGCAGGGAACTCTTCAATGAGCTAACACACAAGAAGGAAGCTTACAAGTAGTGGAAACTTGGACAAATGACTAGGGAACAGTGTAAGACTATTGCTCATGGATGTGGGAATGAAAGTCAGGAAGGCCAATGCACCACTGGAGTTGCAGCTAGCAAAAAACATGAAGGATAACAAGAAGGATTTTTGTAAGTATGTCAGCAACAAAAGGAAGATCAGGGAAAGTGTGGGTCCCTTATGGTATAGAGGCGGCAACCTAGTGATAGATGATGCAGAAAAGGCTGAAGTATGCAATGCCTTTTTTACCTCAGTCTTCCATGCACAGTTTGGGAAGACGGTGAGCAGCCAACAGTGGTGAAAGAATAGGTTAGGGACCATTTAGAGAAGCTGGACACAGACAAGTCTGTGGGGCAGGATGCGATGCACCCGAGGGTGCTGAAAAAGCTGGCCAATGTGATTGCAGAGCTGTTGGCCATTATCTTTGAAAACTTGTGGCTATCCAGAGAGGTCCCAGATGATGGGAAAAGAGCAAACATAGTGCCCATATTTAAGAAAGGGAAAAAGGAAGATCTGGGGAATGACAGACCAGTCAGCTTCACCTCAGTCCCTAGAAGAAATCATTGAGCAGATCCTCAAAAAATCCATTTCTAAAGCACCTGGAGTAGAAGGTGGTGATTAGGAACAGTCAGCATGAATTCATCAGTGGCAAGTGATGCCTGACTAACCTGATTGCCTTCTATGAGATGACTGGCTCTGTGGATGCGGGGAGACCAGTGAACATGACACACCTTGACTTTAGCAAGACTTTTGATACGGTTTCCCACAACATTCTTGCAAGCAAACTAAGGAAGTACGTGTTGAATGAATGGACTGTGAGATGGATAGAAAACTAGCTGGATTGCTGGGTTCAAAAGGTAATAATCAATGGCTTGATGTCTAGTTGGCAGCCAGCATCAAGTGGAGCACCCCATGGGTCAGTCCAGGGGGCCAATTTTGTTCAATATCTTCATCAACGATCTGGAAGATGGCATAGAGTGCTCCCTCATCAAGTTTGTAGATGACACCAAGCTGCAGGGAGCAATAGATATGCCGGATTGTAGAGCTAGGATTCAGAGAAACCTAGATAAATTGGAGGACTCGACCAAAAGAAATTTCACGAGGGTCAATAAGGACAAGTGCAAAGTCCTGCACTTAAGACAGAACAATCCTATAGACCAGCACAGGCTGAGAACTAACTGGCTAAGCAGCAGCTCTGCAGAAAAGGACCTGGGGGTAGAAGTGGAAAATAAGCTGAATATAATCCAACAGTGTGCCCTTGCTGCGAAGAAAGCTAATGACATACTGGGCTGCATTAGTCAGAGTGTTATTGGAAGATCAAGGGAAGTGATTCTTCTCCTCCTCTATGTGAGGCTATATCTGGAGTACTGCATCCAGATTTGGGCTCCCCACTACAGAAAGGATGTGAACAAGTTGGAGAGAGTCCAGCGAAGGGCAATGAAAAGGTTTAGGGGGTTGGGG